ACAAATCATGGTGGGCAGCCCATTGGATCGAGCAAGGGCTCTGTGCTCATCCCAGTGGGGAGGAAGAGGATGCAGAGTTATGGTGAAAGGCAGTCGGGGGGACACTGTTCCTGCCCCGAGGGAGCTTCCAATCTGGGGGAGTGGAGTCCCTGCACCCAAGATACCCCAAATTGGATGGGAGAGACCCAGTCACTGTCCTCAAGGAGCCCACTGTCTGATGGGGGAGACAGTTGCTGTTCTCAGGAACTTCTCAGTGGTATATGGGAAGACTCTGCCTGATCTCAGGAAGCACCCACTCTGAAGGAGAAGCAGGGGTGTGGTACCCAGAGAACCCCAGCCTGATGGCGAAGCCGTATCTCTGACCACAGGAAGCTCCCAGTCGAATAAGGGGATAGAGTTCCTACACCCAGGGAGCCCTTAGTCAAGTGTGGGAGACAGTTCCTGCTAGTCTAATGGGGAGCCACATTTCCCTTCCTTATGGAGACTCTTCCAATGTGGGAGACAACTCTTGTCCTCAGGGAGCCCCAAGCATAATTGGGTAATTGGCTGGTACTGTGGATAGATGCCTGGGCCTGAAGTCAAGAAGACCTGAGTTCAAATCCAGCCTCAGACACTTACTAGCTATGTGACCCTGGGCAAGTCACTTCACCTATGCTTGCCTCAGTTTTCTCAACTATAAAATGGGAATAATAATGGCACCTACCTCCCAGATATACCTTACAGCATGTGAGGATCAAATGAGATAATATTTGTAAAGTATTTAGCACAGTGCCTGGCACATAATAGGCATTTAATAAATGATTGTTTTATGTTTTCACAGAGGGGGTACTTTTGGGGTACTTGGTTCTAAGCTAGGTCCTCAGAGACCACTAATGACAATGTGTATTTCTTCAATGCCTGGGCTTTATTGTTAGAAGAATTTAAATTATTTTTAGGAACCTGGTGCTCTAGGGTAAGAAACTGATATCTTGGTATTGCTTGTGTCTAGAGGGTTTTGTTGGTTTCTCTTTCTTTGGGATTTATGTGGTACTAGGAACTTGGAGGATGTCCTTAAATAGTCAGGTAATTTTTTTTTTTTGCATTTTAATAATTTTTATTTTTTTTTGCTATTCTGAACTTGATAAAGGCTAACAGACATGAACATTTCCACATAAAAAGAACAGAGAGGGTTGTATATGAAGTTGGACATATCTGTTATTTTTTTTAAAAAGAATATAATAAATTCAACATGCTAGTTTCAAAGCTGTCCTGCTTGTCTAGTTCTCTCTTTGAATTTCCTTCTGTTCTCTTCTGTGCATTTAAAAAAAACATGCTTGTCACCCTCTTTTCTTTTTGTTTTTAATTTAATTTTTAATTTGTGGAATAAAACAAGCATTTCTATAATATAGTACAATAAAAATATGATACTATAAATACTATGTACAACTTGCTATTCCTTTCAAATATACAACAAATTTATCATGTGAATTTCCTTTTTTCTTCCCTTCCCCTCCCTCCCAATGGCTACCATTAGACACAAATAAGTATATATATGTAAAATTATTCCATACATACTTCTATTTATCAGTTCTTTCTCTGGATGCAGATACCATCTTTTTTCATATGTCCTTGATAGTTAACTTGGGTATTTATAATAGTCTAAATAACTTATTCACTCAAAGTCGTTCTTAAAATAATATTGCTGTTACTGTCTACAGAGCTCTCTTGATTCTGCTCATTTTACTCTTCATTATTTCATGCAAGTCTTTCCACATCTTTCTAAAATCCTTGAGCTCATCATTTCTTACAGCACAGTAGTATTCCATCACAATCATATACCACAACTTGTTCAGCCATTCCCCAATTGATGGGCATCACTGCAATTTCCAGTTTTGTGTCACCACAAAAAGAGCTGCTATAATACTTTTTTAAAACATATCGTTTCCTTTCCTTTTTACCTAATTGTCTTCAGAAATAGACCACGTAGTGATATTGCTGGATCAAAGGGCATGTGTAGTTTAATAACTCTTTGAGCATAATTCCAGATTGCTCTCCAAAATGGTTGGACCAGTTCCCAATTCCACCAACAATGACTTAGTGTCCCAATTTTTCCTAATCACCTCCAACATTTGTCATTTTTCCCTTCTATCATTTTAGCCAATCTGGTAAGTATAAAATGACATCTCAAGTTGTTTTAATTTGCATTTCTCTAATCAATAATGATTTTGAGCATTTTTTCATATGACTATAGTTGTTTTGATTTCTTCTTCAGAAAATTGCCTGTTCATATCCTTTGACCATTTATCAATTGGGGAATGACTTGTATTCTTATAGATTTGTTCTTTATATGTTTTAGATATAAGACTTTTATCTGACAAACTGTCTATAAATTTTCTCCCAATTTTCTCCTTCCCTTCTGATCTTGGCTGCATCTGTTATATTTGTACAAAAACTTTAAAATTTAATATAATCAAAACAATCCATTCTATACCTAATTTTGTTCTCTATCTTTTGTTTATTCATAAATTGTTCATCTATCCGTAAGTCTGATAAGTAATATATTCTGTGTTCTTTTTATGTTCTTGTAAAATCTCTCTTTATGTCTAAGGCATATATCCATTTTGACCTTATCTTGGTAAATGGTGTAAGATATTAGTTTATGCCCAGTTTCTGCCATACTCCTTTCCAGTTTTCCTAACAATTTTTACCAAGTAATGAATTCTTATCCCAAAATCTTAAGTCCTTATGCTTGTCAAATACAAGGTTCTTATGTTTATTTGCTGCCGTAAATTGTATGTCTACTCTATTTCATTGATCTACCTTTCTATTTCTTAGCTAATACCAGACAGTTTTGATAATTACTGCTAAGTCACATCTTTTCTATACTTTTTTTGTCATCACTATCACTAGTCCCTTTCTCCCCTTAAGTTCTCCCAAAATTAAAAACAAACAAACGAACTCCTTTGCAACAAATATGCAGTCAAGCAAAACAAATTCATATGTTGGCCGTGTCCGAGAACGTATGTCTCATTTTGCACCATGAGTCCATCACCTGTCTGTCAGGAGGTGGATAAGAGATTTCATCATGACTTCTCTGATGTTGATCTTGGTGGTATGATTAGTCATTGCGTTGATATGAAGTCTTTCAAAGGTGTCTGTCTTTACAATGCTACTTTTACTATGTAAATTGTTCTCCTGGTTCTGCTCATTTCATTCTGCATCAGTTCACCCAAATCTTCCCAGGTTTTTCTGAAACCAGATTTCTTTCTTCATTTCTTTTTTTTCCCTTTTCCTTTCTTCTTTAAAATATATTTTTGTTTCATTAAATTTTGCATAATTGCATTAAAATTTTTTAACATTTATTTTTTAAAATTTTGAGTTCTAAATTTTCTCTCTCCCTCCCACCTTTCTCCCACCCCTTGAGAAGGCAAGCAATATGTTAATTATACATATGAAATCATGCAAAGCATATTTCCATATTAGCCATGCGACAAAAGAAAACACAGCCCCACCCCCCCCAAAATGAAAAAAGTATGCTTTAGTTTATACTCAGAATGCATTAGTTCTCTCTTTGGAGGCAGATAGCATTTTTTCATTATGTGTCCTTTGGAATTTATTTAGATCATTGTCTTGATCAGAATAGTTAAGTATTTCATGGTTGATCATCATTACAGTATTGCTATGACTGTGTACATCTCCTCATTCTGGTCACTTCACTTTGCATCGGTTCACATGAGTCTTTCCGGGTTATTCTGCCTGCTCATCATTTCTTATAGCACAAGAGTGTTCCATTGCAATCATATACCACAACTTGCTCAGCCATTCCCCAACGGATGGGCATCCTCTCAATTTCCAGATCTTTGCCACCACAAAAAGAGCTGCTATTAATATTTTTATACATGAGTCCTTTGATCTCTTTGGGGAAGGTGTTACTGGGTCCAAGGTGGGTGGAGTTTAATGAATTTTTGGGTATGGTTCCAAAAGGAATATTTGGGTCACTGCATAGCTCCCTTGGACCAGGCAGTCTTAAGAAGTATAAATTATTCAGCAGAAACCCTTGACTGCTTTCTGATTTCCTTTCCCTTAATGATTTCCTCATGTTGGCAACCTGGCTTCCTCAGCCAGAGTGGGGCCTGTTTGCACCACAATCAGCTGTGGAGTTGGGACAGAGCTCCTCCTTCCCTCTGTTTTGGAAAATTACTGGAGCCCCCTGTCGTCCCAATGCCACCTCTGTTCTTAGGAGCTTTGCATCCTCGGAGGGAGGATTGTTTGACTGCTGTGTGACTGAGTCCCCTCATTTCCCTGAGCCTCAGATTTATCATGCATCAAATGCAACTTAGAGCCTTAATCAGCTCTGGATCAGAGAGACTTGTTCCAGGTCACAGAGCCAGATAAGAACTCACTATTTGACAAAAACTGCTGGGAAAACTGGAAAAGAGTATGGCAGAAACTAGGCAAAGACCAGAATCTCACACCATATACCAAAGTCGAGTCAAAAAGGGTTCATGATTTATATATAAAGGCTGATACTATAAGCAAACCGGGAGAGCAAGGAATAGTTTACCTATCCGATTTGTGGAGAACAGAAGAATTCATGACCAAACAGGAGATAGAGAACATTATGAAATGCAAAATGGATAATTTTGATTACATTAAATTGAACAGTTTTTGCACAAACAACGCCAATGCAACCAAGATTAGAAGGAAAGTAGAAAATTGGGAAAGAATTTTTACAACCAGTGTCTCTGATAAGGGCCTCATTTCTAAAGTATATAGAGAATTAAGTCAAATTTATAAGAATACAAGTCATTCCCCAATTGATAAATGGTCAAAGGATATGACCAGGTCACAGAGCAAGGATACATCAGGGGCAGGACTGAAGCAGCCTCTGCCTCTACTATGCCACTTTGACAATGCAAACCATACCATACTCGGGGGAAAAGAGAGAAAAGGAGTTTAGAGGCCTGGGATTCTGGCCAGAGTGTAATGGATGCTAACATTTTCTTCTTCTCTTCCTTCAGGTATCTCTGCCTTATATCCCACAACTGAAAGGCAAGTGCAGGAACCTAGAGACAGAGTATTATAATGATGAGATCCAGATGTGCTGCGACAAGTGTCCCCCAGGTAACTGCCTCACCCTTCCACCTCACTGCTCCGTGCAAGCCAGGGATCTCACTTTCCTGGCTGCCCCACCCCTCAAACTGAGGCTGTTTCCTCAAAGAACAAATCACAAGCTGTCTCCATGAAGGGCCTATTTGGGTACAATTGAATGTAGCCCCAGAATTTTGACTCTAAGGGGGTGTGTGACTATGGAAGAACACCGTTGAAAAAGTCCCAGGTTTTTGCACCTAGATGGTATGAGATGCACTTACAGATGGGGAAGCTAAGGCCTAACCATTTGCTAGGATCACAAACCAGAAAGGCCCTTAGAGGTCATCGAATCCAGCTCGGTCATTTATAAATAATAGAACTGAAGCTGAGAGACGAAGTAATTTGTCACGCAGCCACTACATGGCAAAGTTGGTATTCTGGCTCAAATCCACTGATTTCCAAGCCGTCCACTTTCTACCATGCTGGCCCATTTTGGTTTGCTCAGTCATTTCAAAATCTTCATGACCCCATTTGGGATTTTCCTTGGAAAAGATACTGGAGAGGTTTGCTATTTCCTCCTCTGGCTCGTTTTGCAGGTGAGGAAACTGAGGCAAACAGAGGTTAAGTGACTTGCCCAGAGTTATACGGCTAGTAAGTGTCTGAGGTTGGATTTGAACTCAGGTCTTCCTGACTCCAGGCCTGGTGCTCTATCCACTGCACCATCTAGCTGCTCTATGCTGGCCTGTACAGGGTCCTGATATAACCAGCATTGCCAGAGGAAGTGGAAAGGGGTCAGGATTTGGAGTCAGAGGAGCTGGGTAAGAAGTGTGGCTCTCTGCTACTTTCTGCCTGTGTGAGCTCCCTTGTGCCTCAGTTTCCTCACCATTAAAATGTGGACTCAGTGACCTCCAGCTCTAAATCTATGGTCTTATGAGGTAGGAACCTTCCAAGACAGCAAATGGGCCAATGCTAAGCCACTGACATCATCCCTCTCTCCACTCATACCTTTACCCTTAGCTTTGGAGTCCTGGCTTTTGTGAGAGAAGACATACAACAGACAATTCCTAGATTCCTGGATTCCTGGACAGGGCCTAGCAATATCTAGAATGAAATCTTTTCTGGCCTCCAGCCATGCCTGGAAGTCTGAGAACCAAGGCCTGGACAGAGACCCCAATCTCTGGGACTTGTCATAGTGCCAAGCTAAGGGGCTGGAAGCAGATGGGGACCTCAAGGTTGCTGCAAATGCTGACTTTTCCCAGGGTCCAAATCAGAGCCCCAGGAGGACCAGAGTCATTCAGTTCTGGGTCCATCAGCAGTCCACAGGCTGGAGGACAGTCCCAGAAGGAGCACTGCTCCTTCCTTTGGAATGATAGAGTGAGAAGGAGTTAGGCCTTTCATTGATTCACTGAACCATCATCTCTTCACTCACCTCACCTCATTCCCTCCTGCACCATATTCACATGCTCAGCTCATTCAACAGTCACCCACTCCACTTACCTCTCTCATATCTTAAAGTCAACTCACTCACATACTCTAAAATCAAGACCCTCAACATTACTCACACCTTAAAGTGACCACCTTTGCCCTTACAATCACTATGAAGTCACCTCACTCATACCCTAAAGTCACCATCCTCACACTTAAGCCAAACTCTTACCCTCACTCTTATTCTAAAGTCAACCCACTCACCTAAAGTCAGCCCACTTGCTCTGAGACATACCCTAAAGTCACCACACTTTGGTCACTCACAGACTAAAATCACAGCCCCAGCCTTCACTCATGCACCTTGCCACACCCTCAGCTGCAAAGGCCAAGACAGGAGCTGTTAGAAATGGTAGAAGAGACCTGCAAACAGGAGAACAAGACAGTCAAGGGTTCTCTTAACAAAGGCCCACCCATCTTCAGTCTCCAGCCATCCCTAGCAGGCAGAGAGGCCTGGAAACCTGTCTCCCTGGCCATGACCCTCACCATGGCCAGACTGTCTCTGATTTGGGGAGGAAAGATGTCTCTGTATAAACAACATGGTATCTTAATATCTTAGATTTATAGCTTGAAGGACCTTTAAAGGTCATGTAGCCCGACACCCTCATTTCACTATGCCACATCAATTTTCAAGTGAATGACAAAGCCCCTGGCTAAATCTAGCAGAGGGGATGTTTTGTTTCTATCTTTGGGTTAGCATAGTGCCTAGCACATAGTAGGTGCTTAGTAATAAATGTTCAGTTCAATCCAATAAGCATTTATTAAGAGCCTACTATGTGGCAAGTACTGGGTTAGATACTAGGGAGACTGGATTGGAGATACTGGACTGTCCTCTGCTGTAGGGGAGAAATAACATGTACACAAATAAGTAAATAGATGTTCTCTACTGAGTCAGTGCAAAGTAACGGCGGGGGGAATAGGGGTAGAGAAATGCTAGCGGTGGAAGGAGGGGATCAGGTCTTCTATCGAGATAGCATTGGAGGGGCAATCAGGTGGCGCAGTGGAGAGAGCATGTGCTCTGGAGTCAGGAGGACCTGAGTTCAAATTCAGCCTCAGACACTTTACACTTACTAGTGTGGGACCCTGGACAAGTCACTTAACACCATTACCTCCCATTCCACTGCCCCCCGCCCGAAAAAGAAAGAGATAGCATTGGAATTGAACCTTGAAGGGAGTCAGGGATTCCAAGAGGGAGACATCAGGAGGGAAAACCTTCTCAAAAGGTTGAATTGAATTGAGTCCCACTTTATGGCTGAGAAAATGGAGGCTCGGAGATACCTGAGGTCTGGGATTCAGAAAGACTGAAACCTCCCCTTCCCCATTCGTTGTTGTTACTTCCTAATTCCACTTTTTAGAGGTCAAGGCTGAAAACTGGCCCTAAATCAGGTCTGGAGAGCATCTCTCAGAATAGCTATCACCTTCAGTTCTTATCTCCAAAACTGGCCCCTCTCTGACTTTGGAATCTGGTCAGCAGACAGCCGCCTCGCCCTGAATCAGGGGCATAGAATTCAAAGACTCCCAGTTACAATTTTATTGTTGAGACCATTCTTCGCGATCCCATTTGGGGTTTTCTTGGCAAATATACTGGAATGGTTTATCAATTCCTTCTCCAGCCCATTTTACAGATGAGGAAACTGAGGCAAACCAGTTAAGTGGCTTTGCCCAGGGTCACACAGCTAGTTGAGGTCAGATTTGAGCTCAGGTCTTCCTGATAGAGCTCAGTGCTCTATCCACTGCACCACCAAAGTAGCTGCCCTAACTAAGGCATTGGCATCCCCATTTTCCATTAGAGTAAACAGAAAACTGAAGAGGTTAGATAAATTACTTAAGGCCACACAGCAAGTTGGGGCTCAAACCCAGGACTCTTTACCGCTGTACTACAGATATGAGAGGACCTATCAAAGGCCAAGCTGAGATGTTTTGGCTGCGGTTTTTCTTCTTTAAAATTTTGATTTGTGTTTTCAATGCACAACTCACCGGCTGGTCTCTCTCCAGGTAAACGGGTGCTGCAGTCTTGTACTAAGAACTCAAACACCGTTTGCATCGACTGTGAGCATGACACACACACTGAGGTCTGGAACTGGGTGGAGGAATGCCACAGCTGTCGCAGTCGCTGTAATCGAGGTAAGGCACGGTGGGCCCTGGCCCCAGCGCTCCTCCCCTGCAGTTGGCTCTCGTTCTATTAAAAAGCTTGCTGGGCTCCTCCCGAAGCATCCTCTGTTCTACCTTTAGGTAAACAACCTCAACTGGAGCTCTTGAGAATTCACCCTTTTTTTACCAGCCTCCTCGTATTTCTACAAGTGATCCACGGATGACATTATAAATAAGCAAAAGGCCGGGGGCTGACTGGAGTTGGACTAAGGGATGCTGACAGGGAAAACCACAACCTCCAGGCTGGAGGCCAGGATTGATCTCAGGCTCTTTTCTCTCCTTTCATCACTAGATTTGGTGGAGATTCAGAATTGCACTAGAAGGGAAAACCGAATCTGTGCCTGCAAGCCTGGATTCTTCTGCATAACAAGGAGTCAGGGCAGCTGCCTGCGGTGCTTCAAGTTTACAAAGTGTCTCTGGGGCTTTGGAGTGTCTAAGCCAGGTAGGAGAGACAGAGAGCTGGGGCTCAGGAGACAGCCCAGGGTTCACATGGGGGAGGGTAGAGTGGAAATCCCAATTGGCAGGACCCTAGAGACCATTAGGCCAACCCCTACATTGTATAGAGAAGGAAACAGGAGAAGGTAAGCGACCTGCCTAAGGTGACGCAAGTAGTCAAGATGAGGTCTACGACTACCATTCCACCTTCTAATGTAGTGGATAAAGCGCTGGGCCTGGAGCTGTCTCTCACACCTTCCTTCCTTCCTTCCTTCCTTCCTTCCTTCCTTCCTTCCTTCCTTCCTTCCTTCCTTCCTTCCTTCTTGCCTTCCTGCCTTCATTTCCTCTTTCTTCCTTTCCTCTTTCTCTCTCTCCCTCTCTCCTTCCTTTCTCTGTCCCTCTCTCCCTCCCTTCCTTCTGTCTGTCCTTCCCTAAATCTAGTGCTCTTTTCAATAGATCACTTGAAATCTTTTCCCACTCATTCATTCCTGCAGCTCATATCACTCATTCACTCATCCATTCAAGTATTTATTAAGTACCTACTATGCATAAACATGGTACTGTGCTAATTACCGAGGATATGAAATATAAAAGGAAGTAGTCCTTGCCCTCAAGAAACTTCCACTCTGAGCCCCCAGGACTGGAGTCTCACATCAAGGTACTGAGAAGTATAATGAGTCAGTACAAAATGAACAGGGGCAGCTACCTAGGACGGTGGATAGAGTGCCAGTCAGGAAGATTCATCTTTGTGAGTTCAAATCTGGCCTCAAACACTTACTGGCTGTGTGACCCTGGGCAAGTCACTATACCCTGTTTGCCTCAGTTTCCTCATCTGTAAAATGAGCTGGAGAAGGAAATGACAAATCACTCCAGTATCTTTGGCAAGAAAACCCCAGATGGGGTCATGGAGAGTTGGACATGACTGAAATGACTGAACAACAACATGAATGCAAAGCAAATACATCCTTGACTTTTTTACCCTTGTGCTATGGTGCCCATTCTGAGGGACTCAGGGGTGATTCAGCAAAAGGAGAGATCACTATACCCAAAGCAAATGGCCTCTGCTGACCAAATCACCTTGACTTTCTTAGGGCCTGAGTTTGACTCCCAGAGAGGCAGAGACTGGAGGGTGGTTGCGGAGGAGGGAGCGGGCTTGATCCGTCAGTCGCCGGAGAGAGTTAGAAGCTCTGGCCCTCTGTGACATTCCTTCTAGTTCTGACAGTCTATGTTCTAAGGGCCCTCCCAGCTCTGACATTCTGTGTTCTAAGGGCCGTCCTAGCTCTGACATTTCATGGTCTAAGAGACCTCCAGTTCTAATTTTCTGTGTTCTCTGTGTTCTAAGGGCCCTTCCAGCTCTGACATCCTCTGTCCTAAGGCCTCTCTCAGTACTGACATTCTGTGTTCTAAGGGCCCTCCCAGCTCTGACATTCTGTGTTCTCCCAGCTCTGACATCTTGTGTTCTAAGGGCCCTCCAGTTCTAACTTGCTATATTCTCTGTGTTCTAAGGGCCTTCCCAGCTCTGACATTCTGTGTTCTAAGGGCCCTCCCAGCTCTGACATTCTGTGT